CAGGGTGTGGGGCCCTCTGGGAACGAGACCCTCACCCTCAGACTCACCTTTCCTGTCCTCTCTTGCAGGTTCTATGGCCTCTCAGCTGACTCAGGAACCTTCAGTGTCTGTGGCCTTGGGCCAGACGGCCAGAATGACCTGCCAGGGAGACAGCTTAAGAAGCTATTATGCAAGCTGGTACCAGCAGAAGCCAGGCCAGGCCCCTGTGCTGGTCATCTACAGTAATAGCAACCGGCCCTCAGGGATCCCTGAGCGATTCTCTGGCTCCAAATCAGGGACCACGGCCACCCTGACCATCAGCGGGGCCCAGGCTGAGGACGAGGCTGACTATTACTGCGGCTCGTATACAGGTAGCAGCACTTCCCACGGTGGTCCAAGTTCATGGGGAAGTGAGACCAAAACCAGCCCCGTGCTCACAGGCTCTCTCTTTGTTATGAAGTTGCTTCCTTTGCCCTGTCCAGAGGGGCTTCATGTACATGCCCTTGACAATTCTCTCCTCTCACCTCCTCTCCCCTCTCCCACTGAGGTTCGCAAAGTACCCTGCTCTCTGGTTGATTTTCTGTAGCGATGGTAGGTCGCTTCCTCTTAGATAGGGTGACACGATCCTTGAACACGCAACTGTTTCTAACTCTTCAATGTCGTGAAGAGTGTGACCAGCAGATGCCTACTCAGTGCAGCTCCTGCAGTTCTCAGGGAAATCCTCACAGTAAATGCCCCCACCTCCCCGATGTGGCCCTGCCACCTGGACCCAGTTCTCCAGGTGTGACCTGATATCATCTGTGTCCACCACATTCTACGCAGAATCACCTCCTTGATGGCTGTTCTACTGCACGTCTCCTCCTAAGTGACAGTAACTCAGGATAGATCTGAATATGTTGCTAAGGAGATGAAGACAAAGGGAAAGATTGGTTTCCTTTTTTAGTGTCGTTGTCTTTGATGCCTATGCAAGGGGCTGGGTAGGGAGAATTTGAGTGACAGAGTTGTGTTACATCAGCACAGCCCCTCTTACCAACTCGATGACCTGCTGTCTTGGAACCAGCTATGCATGTGGATGGTCTCCTCCTAAGGGTGGGCTTTTCCTTTTGCTTTGGGGTGCATGTGTGTAGAGACAGAGTCTCGGCATGTTGCCCAGGCTGGTATGGAACTCCTGGCCTCAAGCAATCCACCCTCCTTGCTCTCCCAAAGTGCTGGGATTAGAGGCATGAGACATAATGCCTGGCCTGATTTTCTCAAATGTTTCTTTGTTCTACAAGAAAGAGGCATTTGGTGGATCTGTCCCCCATTCTCAGGGTTTGCCAAGAGTATCAGGTTTCTATGTGGAACCAATCCACTTCCTAGCTGGAATCCACATACACTGTGTCACTGAGCACACGTGTATATAAACGCCTGTGCAAGAGTTTGTTGGACTCTGGAATGAAGCTGGGCTTACACTCTAGAAATTATGGTACAGTGGCCACGTCCTCCTGGCTAGCTCGGGACACACCCTGATTGTATTGCTGCAGATCCCAAGTCTGAGGACAGCCTCCTGTATTGCAAAGCAAGACAGTCGGCCCCTACCTAATAGCTCAGTTTTTCTCAGAATGTTCACGAAATTCACGTATTCACTCATACTCCTTTTCCGCTTATCTTTTTATTTACCCCTAAGAAACATGAGAACCTGCATGCTCTAATCGTCTCAGGCTGGAACAGTCACTAACAGGGATCCCTAAGCAGCTGGGTCACAGCACCTGTGGGGAGGGGCCTCTGTCACGGGCGACACGGAACGATGTCCCAAGTCAGGGCCCCTTGTCTGTGTGAGGCTGGGCAGAGGCTGTGCCCATTCGCAGGGCGGGTGTCCCGGAAGAGACAATGGGAGGAGGCCTAGTGGACACTGTTCTGCTTTTCCTCTGTGGCCTCTGCCCTAAGTCTTGCTCCTTGATGTGACAGAAGGGTCAGGACCTTCATAGGAGACGCGGATTCGCATCCTTCTGGTGGGGCCACCGCTGCCTCTTCCAGGGCGACTCCTTTCAGCATGGGACCAGAATTTCCTTTGGGAGGTTATCACTATTTTACAATAGAAAGAATTACAAAGAAAGCCAGTAGCTAGACAACGTTCAAACAGGATAGTGGCAATGTGACGTTTCTGGAGCTTCCACAGCCCTCTGTGCCCTGGACACGTGGAGACCGAAGCTGTGGGCACAGCTGCCTGGGTTTTCCCCAGCACTTAACGGCACCTTTTTGAAATGCTGACTGTGGAAGGTGAGAGAATGTCACTGTGGTTGGAGGTGATCTGCAGTGATTGAGGCGTCCCCATCAGGACAGGGCCCACCTGCGATTTGCTGTTCCAGGGAGCCAGGAGGTCAGCACACCCCCCTCACGTGTGACTCTGAGTTCCACGCCACTCCTTTTTCATAGTGTCATTTGGGATTTTTTGCCTTTTTATAAAATACTAATGTACGAGAAATAATTAGATTAAATTATGCCTGAAAGATAAGGATGTGGACATTGAGTTTTGTCTATTTTGAATTTTCTTGCTTTGGCTTATTTATTGTTCTTAGTTTTTGTAAAAATAGGTTTTCTACTTCCCTGTTGGTGGCAGTTGTGCCTCTTATTTATGAGTCATGCAATATGACATTGGCGCAAAAATCCAAAATCATTGAATAGCAATGGGCCCTCCTGCAGCAGGGGGCCCTGAGGCTGCTCCTGGAGCTGACAGCACGTGCCACGGAGCAGAGGTGGCTCCTCGTGAAGATCAGAGTCTATCTCCTGCGGGAAGCACCGGGACACCTGCAACGTGCAGGGGGGTCTCCACAGCGAGCCCAACACGCAAGGATTCAGCCCACAGGCCCCAAGACAGCGCAGATAGCCAGCAGGGTGATTTCTGGACAGCTGTCCCCATTCTCATTTTATTAAGATCTAAAGTAATAGACATTGTTTTCTAACGTCTAACATAATGCAGCACATATTACTACACGTGTAAAACACACGTGCAAGCAACAGCCTCCAATCCAAAACCGTCACTGCCCCTCCCCCCTTCCTGTCCTCCCCCACCACCTTCCTCAGCTTCCCCAAGGCCACCGCTCAGCTCAGCCCTCCTTCAGCCACGATACCCCCTTTCTGTGACCTTGACCATGTCCCTCCCATCGTGCGAACAGTGGCACTGGAAGAGTCTCCTCAGCACATTCACACCTACAGCCCTTTGGGGCCATTTCTGTGCGGAGATTTCCGTTTTCACCTTTGCATGGGCCCGTGAGCCCTGACCGGAATGAATCCCGCATTCACCTCTTTCCCGAAAACCACGCCAGGTCATGCATTTCTCTATGACTGGCGAGACTTTAGTCAGGAAGCCACACAGCTCGAGAGGAGGTGGTCTTAATGTGCACAAAGGTGGCAATTGGAAGAGGAGTCCCAGTCCCCATGACATCCAGGGTCCTGGAGCTGAAGCCCAGAGGCCAACCCTAACCCAGTCCCTGTCCCGCATGCACAGGTCACTCCCAGGCCCACTGACCTCTCTCCCTCATGCAGCATTATTCCCTTCAACATGCTGACAAGCCAGTGGGTCCCCTGCTTGTCCACTTCTTGTCACCCAGGTTTGCTACTCTGGTTTTATTTTTAATTTTTATTTATTTATTTATTTATTTATTTATTTATTTATTTATTTATTTTGAGACAGAGTCTCATGCTGTTGTCCGGACTAGAGTGCCGTGGCGTCAGCCTAGCTCACAGCAACCTCAAACTCCTAGGCTCAAGCAATCCTACTGCCTCAGCCTCCCGAGTAGCTGGGACTACAGGCATGGGCCACCATGCCCAGCTAATTTTTTCTACATGTATTTTTAGTTCTCCAGCTAATTTCTATCTATTTTTAGTAGAGTGGGAGTCTCGTTCTTGCTGAAGCTAGTCTTAAACTCCTGAGCGCAAGCAATCCACCCGCCTCGGCCTCCCAAAGTGCTGGGATTACAGGCGTGAGCCACCACGCTGGGCCCTCAGGTTGGTTTTAAATCAACACCTCCTTATCCTCAGCCTTGAGCGCAGAGCTGCCCCAGGAGCACTGACCCTGGGACTGGGCTGTCCTGGGACTAATTGAGACATCCTAAGGGGCAGGTTAGGGACCCTGGTGTGGCAGGAGACACATCCCTTTCTGGAGGAAGCCAAAGGACAAGGGCCTGGAGCCTGGAGATGGTTGGAAGGGACCAGGGGACCTGGGCCTGAGCTGGGAGGGGACAGAGCAGGGAGCAGAGCAGGGACTTCCGGCTCCACTCAGCTGCGGCCCTGGGCTGGGATCTTCCATCTGAGGCCTCCAGGGGCAGCCAGGGCCTGGATGGAGGCAGGGAGTCACTGTGGGTCACCAGGGACTGTGTGACATCCTCAGGCTGTTCCCCTGAGAACACCTGAGTGACATGCAGGGCACAGGGGTGTCCCATGTCTCTAGTGCCCAACACATCCTTTTTCAGAAGGGCAGATAAATGTCCCCAGGCCTCACACCACAATCCATGTTGGGGACAAATGGATGAAGATGACCTGTCTGAGCTGAGGGAGACCTGGAAATGGCTGAGGGAAACAAGAGGTCCCCAGCTGTGCCTTTTGTGCCTGGCATGACTGGACTCTCCTAGCCATTCTAGGGCCCTGTCCTCACCTCACCCCACAGAACATGACGAGAGAGGACGTCTGGTTCCTTCAGGCAGGAACCACAGTGGTACCACAGTAGGAAGGGCAGCAACTTCCGGGTCTGGCCCCATTTCCCGGGCACCATCATGGGCCCCTTCTATCCCAGTTCAGAAAATCCCAACCAAAGAGTTTCAATCCCCTCAGCTGAGCCCTGCTGTGCAGGGACCCAGAAGTCCCTGAGTGCAGGCCCAGGGCAGGGCGGGACGCAGAGGCGGCTCAGGACGCGGATTTGCATGGAGGCCCCTCCTCTGAGCAGGGATAAGAGAGGCCAGAGCAGGCCCAGCGCTGGTCTCAGGGCAGCGCTCTGGGGGCGTCTCCACCATGGCCTGGGCCCTGCTCCTCCTCTCCCTCCTCACTCAGGGCACAGGTGACACCTCCGCGGAAGGGGCCTCGGGGACCTCTGGGCTAACCCTTGGTCTCCTGCTCCTCAGGCTCCCCTGGGGCCCCGCACGGACTCACCAGACTGTGTTTCTCCCTCTTTTCAGGGTCCGGGGCCCAGTCTGCCCTCACCCAGCCTTCCTCCGTGTCCGGGAATCCGGGACAGTCGGTCACCATCTCCTGTGCTGGAACCAGCAGTGACGTTGGGAAGTATAACTATGTCTCCTGGTACCAACAGCACCCGGGCACGGCCCCCAAACTCCTGATTTATAATGTGAATACTCGGACCTCAGGGATCCCTGATCGCTTCTCTGGCTCCAAGTCCGGCAACACGGCCTCCCTGACCATCTCAGGGCTCCTCGCTGAGGACGAGGCTGACTATCACTGCAGCTCGTACAGGAGTGGTAACGCTCTCCACGGTGGTGCAAGTGCCTGGGGAAGTGAGACCAAAACCCGCCCTGAGCTCACAGCCCCTCCTGCTCAGAAGATGCTTCCCCTCCCTGTGCAGAGGGGGCTGCAGGCCACACGCCTGGGGATCCGCTCCTCTCCCAGCCCCTCCTGCCCCTCCCTGAAGTCCAGCCTGCTCTCTGGTGGATCATCTAGGACGATGGCAGCTCCCTCTTCCCTGTGTGACGTGGTCCCAGATGTGCAACTATGCCCAGCTCTGCAAAGGCGGGGGCTCTGCGACAAGGAGCTGCCTGCTGGGTGCAGCCCCTGCTGTTTGGGGGAATCCTCACCCTAAATGCCTCCCCGTCTCCCACGCCATGAGGACCAGCCTGGAGAGGAGTCATTAGGGAAGTTTCCAGAAACGCCGTCTTACCCAACCTGGTTTCCGCCACGCTCTAGTGAAGGTGGCCTCCCTGCTGGGTTGATGCTCAGCAGGTCTGCACTGAAGCAGTCACCCTGTGACAAGATCTGAAGACACTTTGGAGGGATAAAGACAACGGGAAGATGTTGCTTTTTTCTTCTTGTCCTTCCTCTTCACTCCAAAACCTCGGGCTGCTGCACCGGGAAGGGTTTGGGTGACACATTCTGTGCTCTCTCAGCATCGCCCCTCCCCTCTCAGCACTGAACCCCTGTTCCGCAAACACCCACAAGTGCACTGTGTCCCCATAGGATGGAGAGTCCAAATGGCCCCACGGGAAAGAGTCACCTGGAGTGACCCCTTCCCCATTGACGTCGAGCACATCTAATTTTCACGGGGACAGTAACTTTCTAGCTGGAATCCTGCTTAATCTACTGTGAGAAGAAATTTAGAAAAATTTCAAATATGCTGGATGCAATAATTAAATTTTCTGGAATTTGTGAGCCAGTTTTAACACATAGCCATTATTAATGTTTAGATTTCACAAATTTCAATTAAATAGATTATATTAAATACAAAATAACCATTTTGGTATATACATGTTATAACATAATGGTGTATACCTTAAATACACAGGAAAAATTTATTATAAGGTGTGCATTAGCTGTCTACTGCTGCATGGATATTATTCCTGAAACTTCCCATGTTAAGGGAACAAATATTTGGGACCTATTAGTTTGGTGCCTGAAGGACTTGAGAGCAGCTGGTGCCACGGTCCTGGCTCAGGGTTGCTCCTGAAGCTGCAGCCAAGCTGTCAGGGGGGGCTGCATTCAGAGGCCAAGCAGGGGGCCAGGACCTGGTCTGAGGGGACCAGCCATTGTCCCTGACCTCTTTGGCAGACGTAGGTGAGCTCAGGGAAAGGGAGAGCTCCCACTGGGGGCAGCATTCTGGAGTCAGAGGAAAGGGTCCATGGGGCCCTGGGGCTGCCCCTGGCCTGTCTGGAACGACAGAGAGAAGGGAATTCACAGCAGGAACAGGACAGAGGACACTGCCCAGGTACCTGAGCCATCTTGGCAGCTCCATCACTTGGGCTGTCAAGCAACTCAGAGGTAAACCCTAACCTGAGTTTTCCTGAAAGAAATTTGAACTCAGCCTGTCTTCAAACTTTTCCTTTCCAAATTGTCTTCTGGATAACTTAGATTATTCTTATTTTTTGCTTTTTCTTTTTCATTTGTTTTATTAACCCCAGGCTACTTGAGCCCCACGTCTTCCAAATCCCATGGTACTGTGAAACTGAGTAATTATTTCTCTTTATCAGAGCATTTCGTATTTTAACAGATTGTTTGGTCTTTCTATGTGTAATTCATCAAAACTCAGGCACAGTATAAGGAATCTTTACCAAATACATTTCTAGAGTCTGCATTTCTCGAAATTGTAGCTTTTGGTAATGTCTGTGCAATGCAGGGCAAGGAGAGTGTTTACTCTCTTGAAATAGCCTCTGTAACATGCTGGCCCCCCCTGCTATTAGCTAAGAGTAGCTGGGCTTTCTCTCCACCTATAATATATTCCTGCTCTCTCCCTGTTTTTTCTATTGATTATCCAGCTGTGTTTATAATCCTTCTTGAGTTCTGGTAAGATGAGAAAATTTTTTCATGGCTAATGACCAGACACTAGTTTTAAAATGGTCAGAAGTCACTGCTGCAACTCTTCCTGGTTGGAAATGTCAAAATTGCCCCTGATTACAGCAACCTGAAATTTGTAGTTGAAGCAATTCACTGCCCGGTACTTGTGGGCAGATTCACGTGTCTGTGGGCAACAATCTGAGCAAGGTCACTTCTGCGTCCATGCACGGATCGGATCCTTCCCTGCCCATGTCCTCACATTCGGTCCCAAATGCATGGCCCTGGAGCATTACATGGGTGACCTTTTAAGAGCACATTGGTGAGATACGCAAAATCAAGGGTATTCTAGTATGCTTGTTAAACATAATTTGAAAACATCCGGGCAAGTTATGACACAATTTGGGAGGTATATTTTCAAATTGCCTCTTCCTGGGATCGATGCTATCTCAGTTTTCTAAATCTTTTTTTTTTTTTTTGAGACAGAGTCTCATTGTGTTGCCCGGGCTAGAGTGCTGTGGCATCAGCCTAGCTCACAGCAACCTCAAACTCCTGGGCTCAAGCAATCCTTCTGCCTCAGCCTCCCGAGTAGCTGGGACTACAGGCATGCGCCACCATGCCCGGCTAATTTTTTTTCTATATATTTTTAGTTGTCCAATTAATTTCTTTCTAATTTTAGTAGAGACGGGGTCTCGCTCTTGCTCAGGCTGGTCTCGAACTCCTGAGCTCAAACAATCCGCCCGCCTCGGCCTCCCAGAGAGCTAGGATTACAGTGGAACGAAAATCTCAGAACGTGAGGAAATAGACTCAAGTCCAAAGTGACTCTTGCCCGTTTGTTTCCCATTAACTGTGTTGCCCAAACACTATGTGGGTGCAGCTGACAGGGCGCTCAGCAAGCAGCTGTAGGCGGATTCTCTGGTTGTCTTAGCGTCCTGGAGCAGGGACGGAAGCATCCCCTCTACGCCTGCTGGTCCCACGTGTGCAGACAGCAGCGCATGTCCCCGCTGACGCGCCAGGAGGGCTGTGCAGCCCTGGCCTTGCCATGACGGGCAGCTGTCCGCAGGACGAGACCAGCTACTCCCTAACACAGGCGCACGGGCCTCCCCCACTCGCTGGGATCTTGCTTCCTGCCAGACACATTTCTGAAAAGGTGCGCCACCTGTCACCTCGTTATTCAGAGCTGCGTGTCCCGCTGCTGCTGGCGTGGGACCTCATGGGCCCTTCTCACCCCGAGCGATTTCCCTTCCACAAAGGTCACATGCTATTTCCTGCACCCACAGGGGATAAAGAAGACCGTGCACAGCGTGGAGATGGGAAGGCTCCAGGATCAGCTCGTCATGGCGGGAGCGGTATCTGTCCTCTTTCAGCCCTGGGGTGACTCTGCCCCAGCTGTGCACCCCTGGGTAGCCTGACCCTTGACCAAGGCCTCAACTTCCACATTTTTCATGTTCATTTGTTGATCCTAAAATATTTAGTGTGTTCTTGGTGCCATTGTTCAGCTGGTGGCCCCTTGTCCCACGCAGCGGCCTTCCCTGAGGTGAGCTGGGGACTCTCAACTGAAGCTGCCTCTTGAAGTTGTATCTGGAGTTTACAGCCACGACCACCACCAGCCACAGCCAATCACTGATTGGCACAGGGGACACAAGCCCTGCCACCTGGCCTCCAAGAGGGGCACGCCCTGGGTGCAGTTATAATCCTGTGGTTTTGTATTTGCATATCAACATGTTGATGCTCAAGGCTAGATTTGAAATTCATAGTTTAATATGCATGTGGGAGATTCCTTTTCTTTTCACTATGCCATTTCTTTCTTTCTTTCTTTCCTTCTTTCTTTCTTTTTTTTACTATACCATTTCTGTCTAGGATTTGTCTTAGTTAATTGGGCCATATTATGCTCTTCAATAAATTTACCTTTGTCATTTTTACTTCCATTTTCTGTATCAGCTATGGCTCTCTTCCATAGACTCGGAAAGATAACCCGTGGCTACAGCTTATTAAATTCCATTTCATAAGCATTTAAATTATTACTTTAAATGATTTCAGGAGTGGGTACATATGCTGACCCCACATCTAACTCACACGCGTTGCTGATACTTCTTGCTCCGCGTCTGTCAATTGTAGCAAATATAGTGGGAGCTTTGACCTTTCCTAGAACCCAGACGACAACAGGGAGGGCAGGTGAAACTCGACAGAGCTGTTATTATTAAAAGCCTCAGGTGAACCAGACCAGGAGACCCACCTGCATTTGATGTGGATGACATTCAGATGAGATTTGGGACTTATGGTGGATGCTGTTAGTGGAAGATTTGGGGTGTCGGGATGGGGGTGCATGTATTTGACAAGTGAGAAACACATGAGTTTCAGGATTCCACAGGAAGGAAGGTTATTGGGGAATTGTGTCCTGTCAGATTCATATGATGAAGCTCCTACCCATAGTATGGGACTGAATTTGGAGATAAAGTCTTTAAAGAGGTGATTAAGTGAAAATGAGGACCTGAGGTTGGGTCCTGATCCAATCTGACAGGTGTCTTCTTAAGGAGAGATAATGTGGACACACAGAAATGAGACAGCAGAGATGACCATGCAGAGGAGAGACCCTGTGAGGACACAGCAAGAAGGTCGCCCCCTGCAAGCCAAGGACAGAGGACGCAGGAGAAACCAACATACAGACACCATTACGTTGGATTCCAGCTTCAGAACTGTCAGAAGGTAAGTTCTGCTGTTTAGGCCACTGAGTCTTTGGTACTCTGTGACGGCAGCACTAGCAAAGGACATCTAGAGGGACCCTGAGGCCTGGGATCGGTGGCAGGAGGAGTCAGGGTTCAGGTGGGGGCAGGGCAGGGAGGGCTGGAAGGTCAGGCTCCCAGGTGAGTCTCCTGGAGGAATCCTGACTCCACTCTCTGCTGGGTGGGGGCCCTGGGGAAAAACGTTTCACCTCCCAATATTGATCCCTAATGAAGGTTGGGGGGCATAGGGCTCCTAGTCCTCCATATTATGAAAATCTTTTAGAGGTGAAACTGGGAAATCACTCACCAGTGCATCTGGCAGGTAAGTGCTCAGAAGTAGTCACTGTGTATGATTTACTGACACACATAGGTTGACGTTCCTTCCATGGGCACCAAGGGGCACCGTGGGCATTGGTTTGGGGACCTGAATAACTCCAAGTCCCCTGGTAGAGCTCTGGGGCCAAGGACATGACTGATGCTTCCTTCCAGGTCCTTCTAGGAGGTGAAATCCACTCTCCCTTCCTGACACCCACCTGGCCCTTTAATGAACTTGAGAAATTTCCAGCACGAGGCCCTCAGGCTCAGGGCTTGGACAAGATCTCAGAGATATTGGAAATGGAGAAGGATTTGCATCCTCTGCTCACCAGGGAGCTGCCAAACAAGTCACAAGAAATAAGGAAGGAGATTCGCATGAAGAGACTCCCCCCTCCTGTGATAAGAGAGCCCTGCAGGTCCCTCCCCAGCTGTGGGCTCAGAGGCAGAGCTCCGGGGTCTCACCATGGCCTGGACCCCTCTCCTGCTCCCCCTCCTCACTCTCTGCACAGGTGCTGCCCCAGGCTCAGCCCCCACAGCACCAGGGGTCAGCCTGGCCCCGACCTTCAGCTCAGCACAGGGGATGCTGCAGGGTGTGGGGCCCTCTGGGAACGAGACCCTCACCCTCATACTCATCTCTCCAGTCCCCTCTTGCAGGTTCTGTGTCCTCCTTCAAGCTGACTCAGGAACCTGCAGTGTCTGTGGCCTTGGGACAGACGGCCAGGATCAGCTGCCAGACAGACGGTATACTAGGTAGCTTTGTACCAACAAAGTGGTACCAGCAGAAGCCAGGCCAGGCCCCTGTGCTGGTCATCTACAGTAACAGCAACCGGCCCTCAGGGATCCCTGAGCGATTCTCTGGCTCCACATCACGGAACACGGCCACCCTGAGCATCAGCGGGGCCCAGGCCGGGGACGAGGCTGACTATTACTGTCAGTCATCGGGCATTAGTAGTAATTATCTCACAGTGACACAGGCAGATAGGGAACTGAGACACAAACCCCTTCGCTGTCTGTGTCACCCTCTCCCTCCAGCCCAAGAAGAAGTGTGGACCAAGTCATGCCAGGTCACTCAGATCTGAGACCCCAGGCTACCCTTCCCTCCCGCCCTCCAGGCAGGTGCTGCCGAGGGTGGGTCAGGAGAGGACTGGGCTGGCAGGAGCCCGCTCCCCGGTATTGCCCACCCTGGAGTGTGCCTTTGTGAAAAATGACTCTAACTATATGTGAAAGGAAGGACAGTGGGATGGAGACATCTGTCACGTGGTTAAGGGGTCTGGATTTCCATACGTGTGGGTCTGGGCCTGGCCCAGCACCTCTACTCATGTGCAAATATGCTGGAATATTCCTGTGAGATACCCAGGCTCGCCTGCATCTGAGTCATGGAGGCCTGGGGTTCCGAGCAGAGAAGCCCAGTGTGGTGCCCGCTGGAGATCTGCTCTTCAGGGCAGACCCACCAACCCTCTGGTGCTCGTAGCTCTGCCCTCACCGGGCATTGTTTGGGCTGCAGAGAACTGCCTCCGCCCAGGATGTGCCCCCTCTCAGGGTGTGGCTTACATCCCACATCTGCCTGAGACCACAACATCAAGGCCCTGTCTCTGGGGTGGATGACCAGCCGGGGCCTCCATCGTGAGCATATTGGAGGTTTTGCAGGTGTAGCCCCCACATATCCTTCCAGAGAGAATATCCTACAGCCCCCTGCATGCAGTTTTTCCTCCCAGAATCTGATTGCAGGGAACCCACATACAAAACAGTCTATAGAGAAGAGTATGGAAGAAGAGAGAGCTGCACAGAGAACTCTGGAAACTGCAGTTATTCCTGAGTGCTCGTGAGCACTGTGTGGAAGGAAAAGAATCACCCAAAGCCATCTGAGGGAACAGTTGCAGGGCTCACACACACACACACACACACACACACACACACACACACACGATCTGGATTGCGCTTGTTCCTACAACCAGAGTGGACAAGCACCTAATTAGGGGCATGAAACTGACCTGTTAGAAAAGCTTTGCCCCAGTACCAGGGAAAACTAGCTGTAGACCACGGTCCTCTCCTGTCCCAATGAGGGCAGTGTAACAACAATCTGAGTGAGGATCAAACTCTCTTCCAGTTACTTCTCTGAATCCCAGAATAAAAAACCAAAAATATATAGAGAAATACAAAAATGCCATGCACCCCATAAGGAAAAATTTAGACTGGCTAGGATCTTGTCAAAATTCCTTCAAGAAAACGGGAAAATACGGAACATAACAAGCAACAAAGTTGAGCACTGTGTATTGGCCCTCAAATTGCACAAGGAATAGACTCTCTAGATTAGGATACAAAAGAAGATATTATAATCATAGCCCATTTATTCTGGAGGGTACAGAATTGATTGAACATGTTAAGGAAAAAAATTAAAGATATTAAAAAAAAACACCTAAATTGAATTTCTAGAAATGACCACCGAAATGTGTGTGATAATGACACATTGAATGAGACTGACAGCCTAATAGATGCTGCCACAGAAAAGGCTGGTGAATTTGATGACAGCAATAGCAACTATTGGTAGGGAAACACAGGGAAAATATTGAAAATAGAAATAACAGCACACCAGTGAGTTATAGGATAAATTCATCCAGCCCAAAATGATGTTAATAGGAGTCACTGAAGGAAAGAAGCTGGGGCAAATTGAATGAGAAACTATTTAATGAAATAATGACCAAAATGATCCAAATTTTGTTAAAAACCATTAACCTTCTGTTCCAAGAATTGCAACCAAACCCAAGATCAAAATACATTCAGAAATGTAAATACGTTAAGAAAACTCAACAGACACACATCTGATGAAATCACCGAAGAAGAGTGATGCAGGGACAGTGTTGAAGGCGAGGCTGGCATGGTGGCTCGACCTGTGATCCTGGCACCGTGGGAGGCTGAGGCAGGAGGATCGCTTGAGCCCAGGAGTTTGAGACTGCAGTGAGCTGTGAAGGTGCCACTGCACTCGAGCCAGGGCAACACAGCAAGACCCTGTCTTAAAAAGAAAGAAACAAACACACAAAAAAACCCCAAAGTACCCAAAGAGAAAATACATGTTAGATACACGAAAACAACAAAGCAACAAGGGCAAACTTCTCATTAGAAGCAATACACGCAAGAAGACAGGGACCCACACCTTTAAATGCTAGAAGAAAAAACTGTCACCTTGTATTCTTTGCTCAGTGAAATACCTTTCTAAATGATGACCTCCCCCCAAAAAAATTTTTCCAAATACATAAAAACTTACAAAATTGATCACCCACAGACCCTTACTAAACTAAATAATAAAGGGCTCCCCTCATACAGAAGAAAAATGATACAGAGAGAAATGTGAATCTACATGAAGAAAGGAAAAGTATTAGATATGGCAACTACCTAGATAACTATGTTAATATCACGTAATATACAAACAGAAGGACTTGAACAGCACTATAGAACAGCTAGACTTAGACAAACACAGAACTCTACATTCCAGAACAAAATAACTACCCCACCCAAGGCACTCTACCGATGCAATGCAATCGCTATCAAAATACCAATGACATTTGTCACAGAAATAAAAAATAAATCCTAAAATTTGCATGGAACCGCAAAAGACCCCAAATAGCCAAAGCAACACTGAGCAAGAAGAAGAAGAAAGCTGGAAGCATCGCGCTACCTGACTTCAAAGTATACTACGAAGCTATAGTAACCAACACATTATGATATTGGTGTAAAGACAGACACACAGACCCAGGAAAGAGAAGAGAGAACCCAGCAATAAATCCGTATATTCACACCCAACTGATTTTCCAGAAAGGAGTCTAGAACATGCATTGGGAAAAGAACACGTTTTTCGATAAATGTTGCTGACGAAATTAAATATCCACGTGCAGAAGAATGAAACTAGACACCTAGCACTCTCCATATACAAAAATCTACCCAAAATGCATTAAAGAGTTAAATGTAAGACCCCAAACTACAAAACTACTAGAAGGAAACTTAGGGAACCTAGCAGAAATGTTTCAGGACAATGAAAGGTTTTATGGCTAAGACTGAAAGCTGAAGGGCCCTCCCAGTCCCAAATCCCCATAAATTTACTGAGGATTCGCAGCCCAGCGCCCAGCTCTGCCCACACCCGCTCCCCAATTCCTGTCCTTTCCTTGGTGTTGGGTTCTCTGCTCTGCCTGAATTCCCACACACTCATCTGTAAGTGGGACTTTGCTTCCCTGGGAACATGCCATGCTGCACTTGTTCTTTCCTCCTTTTTTGTTAATGGTGGTTTAATTTACATCCAGTATAATCCACCCTCTCCGGGGAACTTTTGTGACTTTTGAAAAATGCATCCAGATGTGTAAACACCTCAAAGAAGACAAGTAACAATGCGAACCCCCATACATCCCCCAGGCCCCTCTGGAGTCACACCGTCCTTCCACGCCGACCCCTGGCAACTGCTGGTCCGTACTCCTATGGTTTTGCCTCCATCAGACCATCATGTACACGAAGTCATACCGAGGCAGCCCTTTGATTCTGGGATCTTTCACTCGGCATCATGCACTTGAGATCCACCCAGGTTGTTGCGTGTGTTCCTAGTTCATTTCATTGGAGTTGCTGAGTGGTATTTCTTTGTGAGAAGAAACACAGTTTGCTTACCCATTCCCCAGCTAACTAACATTCAGTGGGTTTCTAGTTCTGCTATGGCAATTGCAGAGAAAATCTTAAAAAGAATTTGGAAGTAAGTTTTTGCGTGGACCTCAGTTTTCATTTCGCTTAGGTAAACACGTGGAAGTGGAATTCCAGGATTTCAGGGTCATATTGCAGGTAAATGTTTAACATTCTTAAAAGCTGCCAAACCCTTTTCCGATGTGAATATATGATTTTGCATTTTGACTGTCACCAGCTGTTTATGAGAGTTACAGTTTGTGCGTCCCCATTGGCATTTGATATTGTCAACGTTAAAAGCCAGTCCAATAGATCTGTACTGGTGTCTCACCATATTTTAAGCTTTTATGTCCTTAATGACTTACCATGCATGGCATCTTTTCAGGTCCCTAATTGCCATCTGTGTATCTTCTCCGGTGAAATGTTTAATCAAATATTTGCCCATTTTTAGAATTCAAGTTTGCCCATGTTCATGTTCACTCATGTGTGTGTGTGTGTGTATGTCCATGTGTATGGATGTGCTCAGTTCTGTGTGAATTTCTTACATGTCTCAGATCTTGCATCCACCGCTAAGTCAAGAAACAACATGGCTGCATCACCACCAGGTCCCCTCCTGCTGCCCTTCGATAACGGCATCCACCTCCTCCCCCTAGATCCCACCTTTTCCCCAACCCTGGCAACTAGTAATTGCTTCTGCATTCCTAACATTTTGCCTTTTCACAAATGCCATAGAAAGAGAATGCTGTAGGGTGGACCCCTCTCCTGCTCCCCCTCTTCACCCTGCACAGGTGCTGCCCCAGGCTCAGCCCCCACAGCACCAGGGGTCAGCCTGGCCCCGACCTTCAGCTCAGCACAGGGGATGCTGCAGGGTGTGGGGCCCTCTGGGAACGAGACCCTCACCCTCAGACTCACCTCTGCTGTCCTCTCTTGCAGGTTCTGTGGCCTCCTCTGAGCTGACTCAGGTGCCTGCAGTGTCTGCGGCCTTGGCACAGACAGCCAGGATCACCTGCCAGGCAGAGACCTTAGACAACAACTATGCACACTGGTACCAGCAGAAGCCAGGCCAGGCCCCTGAGCTGGTCATCTGTGAGGATAGCAACGGCCCTCAAGGATCCCTGAGTGATTCTCTGGCTCGAGCTCAAGAGGAACAACTACCCTGACCATTAGTGGGGCGCAGGTTGAAGATGAGGCTATTACTGTCAATCATGGGACCACAGAGGTACTAACACCACAGTGGCACAGGCAGAGGGGAAGTGAGACACAAACCCATTCCTCGTTTCTGTTACCTTCTTCTTCCAGCCCCAGGAGGACTGTGGACACAGCCATGAGCAGGGCTGGGCCAGGTCACCTGGACCTGAGACCCCCAGGCTACCCAGCCCTCTAGCCCTCCAGGTGGGCTCTGCAGAGAGCGTTTCAGGAGAGGATACACAGACACTTATAACTGTATTCATCTGTTCAAAGAGTAGAGGGATGATTGAATATGTTCATTGGAAACATGGAACACAAAAACCAAAAACAGGACATTCGAACTTGTAGAGATAAAACCTACAGCGTCTGAGTATTAAACAATACACTGGATGGGACTGACAACGGAGTAGATGCTGCAAAAAAGAAAATAAAAGACTAGCAAACTGGATGATTTGGTGCTAGAAACTAAGCAAAATGAAACACACAAAGGAAAAATACTGACAGGCTGGACAGAGCATCACTGAGCTGTAGGACAACTTCAAGTAGCCTAAAGCATATGTAATGGAAGGCCCTGGAATAGAAAAGTGTGATAGAAAAACTATTGAATAAACGGTGGGCACGTGTGCTCCACATGTGGTGAAAATCATAAACTGGTGTATGCATCCAAGAAGCTCAACAAAACTCAAGCGCAGAAAACATGAAGAAAACACCACCAGCACACATCATAATCAAATTAATAAAATGAGTCACGTAGAAGGCTAACGCTGAGAGCAGAGTTCTCCCTAGAAGCAATCCCAGCAAGGAGACAAGGGAGTATTGTATTGAAAACACAAAAAGGAAAACCCTGTCAACTTTGAATTCTTTATCCAACAGAAATACCTTTCAAAAATGGAGGCAAAAAAATTTATAAGACATACAGAAAATTACAGACTTGATTCTACTTACATTATTGACGAGTTTGTGTCCGTGTTCATGGTGGACATCAGACTCCTGCTAATAGAAACGGTGTAGGACACCCCTAAGACAGAGGAAAGGAAACCACATTGAAACGTGAATTCACACAAAGGAATGAAAATGTGAGATATGGTAACTACACGCATAAATATAGAACTGCTGTGTTATGTTAATGTCTATGAAAGATAATTATCTGTTCAAATATTAGTAAAATACATTGGGACTTATAATGAAAACAATTGGCTACATTTGCACCCCCGTAATATTCTGAAATTAGAAAAAAAAAAAAAAATCATGGACCAGAGAAGGACATTTCAAGCCTCAGACTCAGATATAGGAATTGCAACTGTCCCCCCCACCTGCCTGCACACGACATATCTGAGCTCTCTGTGCTGGACGGGGCAGGACAGGTGGGTCACACTGACACAGAGTGAGGCTGGACTGACTGTTCCCCACCAACCAAGTGACAGGTGCTCTAGGGGAACCTGGAGGAGGGAAACTCCTGCTTTGAGTCTCCTCCACCAGCAGGGGGCGGCAGAGCTGCAGCTGGAGCAGCAGGAGACAGGCTGGGGCTGCCCAGGTGGGGCCTGAGGGGGAGGCCAGCCTGGGGCAACAGGTGTCCCAGGGTCAGTCCTCAGAATGTAAGTCGGGACAGTCCATCCTGTCCCCTTGTGCTGCAGGGACCACGTTACGAAGGTCAGACTCTCAAAGCGTCACCCCAGGACACTGACGGGAGCCCAGGCACAGTGAGTGTCACACCTGGGAAACGCAGCTGGAGGGGCCTGGGCCCAGGTGTCAGCCTCGCAAGCTCCCCCAGGGCTGGGATTCCCTGGGGCCCACCCTGAGGTCCAGGTGCTCTGTGAGGGGAGCACAGTGTGAGGGGACAGGGCTCCGAGGGCCGGGTCCTGCCCCAGGAGGCTGCCTGAGCCCCCTGCCCACACTCAGGGCATCGTCCTCCCTGTGCAGCTGTGGTCCTGGGAGCTGAGCCTCTGTCCTGGGCCCCAGCAGAGACGCCCCGGCCACTCGTCCCTCTGCCTCTCCCCCTCCAGGCAGACTCTGCCCTCAGGCCGCAGCTCCTGTCTCAGGTGGGGCTCAGGGCTGGGGCAGTCGGGACCCTGATCCTGGATGGAGCCACTACAGCCGCCTATGGGGGCTCTGCCCAGAGGGAAGGGGACTCTCAGCTGCCTGCGGTCTCAGCTCTACCACGGGGCCGTTTGGGTTCAGTGACAGGAGCTATGTGTGAAGAGACCACTGACCACCCCCCTCCAGAGCTAACATCCTATGCAGAGCCCCTGACCCTAGGACCCTCACAGAGACCACGAGGCAGAAGTTGGAATGTCAGGGGGGTGGGTTTCTGTTGTTTTTTACAAGTTTCCATAAAACATTGACAAGAAAAAATAAAGAACGGAAGCACTGAGGGTGACGAATGCTGGTCTACTGTGGGGACAGAGATGTCACTGAGAGAGCGACAGCACGTGAGAAAGGAGACTAGATATTGTGCTGCTTCAACGACCAAACTGTGGTGTCAGAAGTCACTGTCCAGCATCCTAATGACACAGAACATCATCCAGATGAAATGACTGGGGGGACCTTGGTGAGTCTGGGGACCCAAAGGGGAGATGGAGGAGGAGGAAGAGGATGGTCTGGGACCCCTTATGCTGGGTCAGGTGTGGTCAGTTATCTCACAGCGCCCAGCGCAGCCCCATGGCCAGGCTCCTGGAAGGGACACGGCCCTGCCGAGCCTGGCCCAGGACAGACCACAGCCAGGAGGGTTGGGATAGGAGTCCTGGGGTCAGTCTCCAGGAAGGTGACTGTGACCTCAGGCCTTGGAGGCCGAGGCAGATTTGCTGACCTGAGAAGCACATGGAGGAAGCTGGGGCCCCACCCCTTCCTGCTCAGTCCCTGTGCTGCCCCCACAGCTGGGTGAGGCATGTCCCCCAAGGAGGAGGCCCAGGGGACGTGAATTTGCGTAAACACCAAACACTCCCTGCCCCACAGGGCCTGGGAAGGAATAAGAGAGGCCTGGGGGAGCCCAGCTGTGCTGTGGGCTCAGAGGCAGAGCTCCGGGGTCTCACCATGGCCTGGACCCCTCTCCTGCTCCCCCTCCTCACTCTCTGCACAGGTGCGGCCCCAGCCTCAGCCCCCACAGGACCCCAAGCTGAACCTGCCCTGAAACCTGAGCCGAGGAAAGACTCAGCCTTTAGGTTAAACCTCCTGAGAATGGGTCCTTCACTCTTAATTTCTTTCTACTCTTCTGTCTTGCAGGCTCTGTGTCCTCCTATGAACTGACACAGCCACCCTCGGTGTCAGTGTCCCCAGGACAGACGGCCAGGATCACCTGCTCTGGAGACAAACTTGACGAGAGATATGTGTCCTGGTACCAGCAGAAGCCCGGCCAGGCCCCTGTGCTGGTGATACATAAAGATAGTGAGAGGCCCTCAGGGATCCCCGAGCGGTTCTCTGGCTCCAGCTCAGGGAACACGGCCACCCTGACCATCAGCGGGGCCCAGGCCGGGGACGAGGCTGACTATTACTGTGCCAGAGCTCATGGCAGTGGGAGCAGCTGGCAGTGACTCACAGTGACACAGACAGATGGGGATGTGGGACAGAAACCCCCCCCCGCCTGTCTGTCACTCACACACCCTCTGGGCAATGACCACGACCTTGACCTCAACTCACTCAGTCCCTTTCTCAATGCAGCCCAAGCCACATGCGAAGCCTGCCAGATCTCTACTTGAATTGTGGATTTCCTATAAAGTCAGCTTCCCTTTAAATGGAAACAACCAGCCACTTTAATCCAGTGCCCTTCACAGAGCAGTGCTCGGTTCATGGGATGCAAAATGTCTCTAGAGGGCCTGGTGCCTCTGCCAGAGACTCACAGTCTTTTCCTCTTCATCACAGAGTCGGGAAGGAGAGGAATCCATTCTCCTATGCTCTGTCCCTGAGCACTTGGCCTTGGGAGAGGGTAAAGCACCGGGAGCCAGGAGGCCCTGTTTCCAGGGTGGCATTTGCTGCCCTGGTCAGAGCAGCTCTGGGTGTCTGACAGCAGGAGTTGTGCTGTGCGTGAGAATGACGTGCACATGCGGCTCCCGGGGGGAGCAAGGACACAGTCAGCCTGGTGGCTGCGCAGAAGCAGACGTGTCCCCGAGCCTGCCCGTCTGACCGGACCGCGCACTGGGCGGCACTGACATGAGCTCAGTGCATCCTCATGAGATTGACGCCACCCTTTATTTTTAGTTTCAAAATAACACTTTTTCAGCAAACCCTGCCTAGGAAAGATGAGGAAACCAGCCCGTGTGTGGGGTCCTGGGACTCCCGAGGCGATCCTGAGCCTGTGCTTGTCGCTCCGTAAGAAAAGTCTCTGTTCACAGCCCCCCGTGAGGCTGCGTCATCGGCTGCGCGTCTCATGTGTCTGTGACTTATGGTTTAGACACTTTGCCTTTAGGTCTCTCGCAGAATTTGAAAATGCGAAGCGTAGAATTTATAGAAAGAAAGAACAGCAGCTTCTTTGGGTCCCCTCCCCTGACAGCGCATGTCTAGTTTGCAAGGAAGGGGGTGACACAGAAAGAGAAGATCCTTCACTGCCCATCACAGCTGTGACGGCTGTCATTGCACTGCTGAATGTCCGGTTTCTGCGTCGAGCTGACGGACCACGACTGTCCACAGACCATATTTTATTCACGGGATCCGTGAGACCTAAGCGACAATTCAAGGGTCGTTCCAGAGTACAGGACTGTAAGAAGCTGCTCTAGTAGCCTCTAGTATAGGACGTGTTGTCCTTGGGGTTTCTGATCAGCCCAGAGGGTGCAGGGAGCTGGCCGCCCTCCCAGGCCCGCCCCGCCCCACGTCCAAGGGCAGCAGCGCCCCCGACAGGCGGCTGGCAGAGCCGACAGGGAGAAGCTTCTCCACCTGGGCCTAAGAGTCTGGGCTGAGGATTTTCCCACACCCTCGCCCCCAGGCCAGGCTGGTCCCAGTGCACTGGGAAGAGGTTATGTTCAGGGGACTAGGGGCTCCCCAATCCTCCTTTTCTCTGTTCCTCCCGAGTGACCTTGGGATTGTCACTCCTTCTCTCAGACCTGTCCCTTCTCTGTCCACTGCACTCCCCAGATTCTGTGCACCTGGGTCACAGGACTGTAGAATTCCAGGGAAACAGGATTTCACCCACAGGGGACCCCAGGCAGCTGGCTCAGGACCTAAGTCCCGGGCAGCAGCACAGGTCCCCACAGGGCTGCATGGTGGGCACAGGGAGGAGGGACCAGGAACCCCTCCCCTGAGTGTCTCCAGCCCCAGGTGAGCCAGGGAGCAGTGAAGCGGCAGGGCTGACCCCACCTGAGTCTCACCTGTCCCCACACCAGAGCAGCATCCTGGAGGCCCCCGTATGTGCTACACAACTGTCAAGAGAACCTGATTTATTACCTGGAAATGCCCCCTAAAGACACCTGGGTACACAGTGCCCATGCCCCCAAATTTCTCGGATATGGAAATGTCACCATGGACCTGACCTGTGTTGATTCTTGGACACTCCCTCACATTGTCACTGTCCCATCAGATCCTCAGACTCACCAGACTCTTCCCCAAAGGCGACCGACTGAGCTCTTCCCCATACACTACCCGTGACTTGTGCCGCTTCCAGTCCTAACAGCAGTTGTAGAGACACCTCTCCACGGAGGGGTCTCCTCAGCTATGACTATGACACGGCCTGCCTGTCATGTTTCATCCAGATTCTTTATATTTATCTGCATAGCATTTACCACTGTGGGGTCCTTTCCCTATCACTGTATTTATGAATTGATTCATTTGTGTGAATTATTTCCCTATGGTCAGAAATGCATTTTTACCACAAGACACACATATGAAGACCTGAGGTGCAGAACCAGGGGAGCTTATTCCTCCTGGCAAACAAGTCAGAGGTGCCACAGTGACCGATTTCCAGATTCTCACCTCTTTTGTGAAGGCACCAGGATCTTCCTGAGTCCCTGTTCACTGTCCCTGTGATGTTGGCTTTGTTTTCAGTCTTGTTGACATTAGATCTCAGGATGGCTGCTCCAGCTCCAGCCATCACACCCAAACTCAAGAGGAAAGGAGAAACAGAAACCCACCATGTTTCTTCCCTTCATGACAGCAAAGTTTCCCTGAGAAGAAGCAGCCAACTGGCCCTGACACCCCCTGGACCAGCGCTAGGCTGCACAGTCCATGCTGGCTGAGAGACCTAGGATGTGCACGTGTCTGATTTTTAAATGAATAAAGCAGACCACGCTCAGGCAGAAGGCGGCAGGGACCGTCTGCTGGGGCTGCAAACCCTGTGTGTCTACTGCATGGAGCCAACAAGGTAAGAACTTGCTTCAAGCAGGCTGAGTCTTGTTCATACTGAATTCCCAGAATGGAATTTGCCAGACCACAGTGGGTCTGGATAAACACTTGTTGGGCGGATGGTCTAGTGTGTCGCTGTTTGGTGCAGCGCCCACCTCCACTGGTCACGGCCCTGAACCTGCAGCTGGCATCAGTAAGAGCCAGTCCCTGAGCACTGTGTGTCCTGTGCCAAGGCCTGGTGTCTTCTGCAGGAGGAACCACCCCCAGAAGTTCATGCAGAGAGGCGTCAGGTGGACTTTGCTCCCCCTTCCTCCAAATGCGCATGTTCATATTTTCATGGCTAATCTGAGCCCCTCGTGTGTGCTTTCAGGCAGGCAGGGCACACAGGGAAGAGGAATCCTGCCCTGGGGCAGCAGCCCATGGGACAGGGAAGCAGAGACCCGAGCAGCAGCTTCTGTATCTGCACCTGGACCAAGGGGGCCCCTGAGCCTCCAGCAGCCAGTATGGAGCGGCCACCAGGGGGCAGCAGAGTCACCTGGCAGAGCCCTCTGGGCCTGGGCGCCCGGGCCTCAGGGAGATGCTGACATGCAGAGAGGGTCAGTGACCATCACCTGAGACCTGGAGGGACAGAAATGCTCTTTTTCTGGAGTCCTTGGCAGTGACATACAGATTCTGTCCCTGAAAGATCTGGCTCTTGCACAATCCCCTGTTACCCTAACACGAGTCCAAGCACTGCATTAACCTGAACACCATGGCATGGGTGCTCACACTCTGTCACTGTCAGACATGCCTCGAGCACGGAATCTGTAACGTGCCCTAACTGCACACTGGGGAAACTGAGGCACCACACCTGTGATCTGCCCAGGCACCTTAGTCAAAGGCAGGAACTCACAGTAACTTCATAGCTCTTTAAAACTCCACGTGCGCTCAGCAAAGAATTTAATTCAAGCTCAGCTACTCAGAGATTGTGACCTTAGGAAGACCCTGCACCTGTTAAGCCTCATGGTGTCCCCTGGGGAAGAGGCTCCACAAATGCAGACAGACTCACCTCTGAGCTCAGCATGGCCAGGCCAGCCCAGGAGTGAGGCCAGGAAACAGTCAGGGGTGGAGATGTCAGCTGAGACTCTGGGACCAGCAGGGGAAGGAGAATCTCAGGGACAGCAGGTGGCTCTGCTGGGGCCGCCCCTCCCCTCTCCGGGTCCCCTGGGGCTGAGCCCTTCTCTGGA